AGGATGACTGATTACGATGATTTTTCTGTGATAACAGTATTGTGCTTTTCGTGGGGAAAGTGAGGTTTTTTTTATACATATATAATTGATATCTTTTATTTATTGGTTGTTAACTGTTGCTGCTGCCTCATGGGTCCAACGCTCCCAGGGATGCGGGGTCCGCCGTTTACACGTGCACGCCCTTGACCCCCTGCTCAGCGCTCTTGGGAGGATGGTGGTATGCAGCGGCCGAGAAGCCAAAAAGTTCTTTTTTTAGCTTTGGTTCAGATACCGTGCTCGATGTTTGGAGCAGGGAAAGGTGGGTTTCTTAAATGGCAAATGCACTGTTCCCTCTGGCCCGAATGCCTCCTTCTGGGATCTCTTTTTCTCTGCTTCCTGTTCACCTATCTCTCTGTCCCGCGTCCTCCTCTGGGTCCGGAACATCATTTCTGAGGATAAACAAGGGACATCTTTCGGTTTCTCAGCTCCTGCTTTAGTGTGTGCAGCGGCGTGGGGAATGTCGAGGCTTATGCTGAGACTGGGAGCCGGGTGGAGGGGTACTGAGTCCGTAAGGAGAGAGTGAAGAGGGCGTGAGCAGGTGTAAAGGCTGCTTCTCCCTCCTCGGTGGCTGGTGAGAATAGTCGCTCGCTTTGCCTTCCCGCCTTCCTGCCTGCCTCGGCCCCCGCCCCGCCCCCTCGGGACAATATCCTTCCTCCCTTCCTTCTTTTAGCTCAAAAGCCAGGAGGGATGGGGGAGAGAAGGGCTGCTCACAACCCCATTCAGGTAGCTTCTTGGGCCATGTTGCTCACTGGAAGGTTCTAGCTCTGCCTGCCACTGAGACGGGGCAGCCTCAAACTGTCACCATAAAAGTCAGACGACCTTGGACCAGAGGTCGGGAGCCCGAGGCTGGCCCTGGCTCTGTGATTGTGGGCAACCCCCTGCCCTGTCTGGGCCCCAGCTCCCCTGGCTGCAGAGCCAGGAGGCCTGGGCTGTTGGATCTGAAGACTCTTCCATGCTGTTTCTAATTCAGAGCTGGGGTTTCCTGCAGTTGGTGATTCTGCAGTCTGTGGCTAAGTTTCCAGACCCCAGCAGACACAGGGACTGTCTGAGTCACTCTCTTGTCTCTTGGCACAAGTCTTCAGGGATACCGCAGCCAGTGGTTGTGGTGTGTGGGGTCAGGTGACACACCTTGTCCCTCCCCACGTGCTTCCTGCTTCGTCCTGGACTCTTGAGCTATCCTTTTGGCCAGAACCCGTCCTCACCCAGGGAAGGCTTCTGGGGTGAGAAGCAGCCTCCCAGACTGTTCAGGGCCAGACTGGAGTCGAGAATCCCTGCTGCTTCTTTGCGAAGTCGGCAGACTGTCTCTCCCTGCTTATCCCGGCCCCAGGAGAGGAGGAGCTGGCCCTCAGCTCCCGCTTTGAATTGTCCTTGATCTCTACTTTGCACGTTCCCAGGAGACCAGAGCTTCTCCTGCTCATTAACCCTCAACCAACAGACCTTCTGCCAGACTGCTGTCTGCCCGTGTGGGGCTGGCATGTCCGCTCCCGCAGGCTGGACCACTCAGCCAGCCCCCGCCTCTCCCTTCTTGTGTTCACAGACCCTTTGGCTGCGCTCTGCCTCCCCTGGAAGCCCCCTTGATCCTGTGGGGTTGGGAGCAGCAGTGCCATTTTTACAGGCGAATTTGAAGCCTGGCTTCTTGGGGCCCCTACAGTCATCTTCCTGCTCAGATCCCTGGCCAAGGAGGCCCAGGAGTCACCACCAAATCCTGCAGTTCCTGAGCCTGGCTCTGACCTAGGATCCCCAGGCAGGAGAGGAACTTGGTGGCTTGGGGCTGGAGGGGAAGAGAGTGGGGTCTATCCCCAGGTCCAATCCCTTCTCTGGCCCCCGCCTGAGCCTTGATTTGCCTTTCTGGGCCAGCAGGCAGGAGCTGTTGTGCAGCCTGCCCTGGAGGCATCAGAACAAAGGGCTTGTGGCTGAGGATGTTCCAGAGTGAAGCACGTGGGTCCCTCCAGCTGAGGCCTGGATCCCCAGGCATCTAGAGAGCTGTGCTCAGAGCCTTCCTCCAACCTTCTCGCCTTTTGGCCTTTTGCTTTATAGCAGCAGGTGTGACTGCTGGCCTTAGCAGGCAGTACCTTGGACCCATGCCCGGAGACGGTCCAGAGCTGCTGGAAGGGCCACCCTTCTTGGCAGGGTGCTGGACACTAGCCATTTTTGCCCGAGCTTGCTGGTGGGGACAGTTCCATCCCCTCCTGTCACCAGGCCTCCAGCTGCAGCCCCCTCGGAGCCCTCAGCAGCCTGCAGGCCTCTCTCCCCAGCACCGTTTCCTGTCCCAGGCTCAACTCCATCAGCTGCTGCTCTCTGGGGCTTCCAGACCAGCCAGAAGCCAGGTTCTTAGTCCCTCTGCTGACCCTCATTCCCCCTCCCAGGAACAGGGACCAGCCTCGGGCAGCCCTTCTGCAGCAGCCCTGGCCTCTTCCTCCCAGTGTCCACTCCCAACTCTGTGTTGATGGTATTTAGGAGAATGTCATGAGTTCCCAGTATTTGACCAGGCAATGTTTAGCATAGGTCAAGGCAAGCGTGGATGTCCTCCTCTTGCCCTGAAATGGTTTTCATTTTGACAGCCCACTTTCGAGATAACAGCTGCACCTGGGCTTTCAAGGACATTGTCTCTTCTCTGGGAGGTTGGGGAAGGGTGGGGTTCCTGAGCCCCCTGGGACGAGGCAGCCTCTGCTCTGGAGAAAGCCCCATTGCTCACCTAGTGGAAAACTTTGCTGTTCCCCAGTCGTTTCAGCTTCTGAGGGATCGAAGGGAACGTGGGAGCGCCTCCTGGTGGCGATGATCTGTAAAGGCATTTGGGGGCTCTGACCAGCCAAACGACCAGGGCTGCAGACAGGGAAGTGTGGAAAGGGCTCTGATTTCACCCAGGCCCTGGGCTTCCAGCCGCACCTTATTGGCAGCATGTGTCCCAGATGCCCCTCTTCTAGGTCTACTCCAGGGATAGCAAATGAATTAGCATAAGGGCACTGTGATGGGAAGTCTTGCCCCCTCCTTTTTTAATATCTGCGGAATAAACCCAATGGTTGATTTTTGAATGAATAAAAGGCTTTTGTTGAATAAACAGCTGGTCCCATCTTCTGTCTTGGCATCTAGGCATCTCAGGCTTTGTCCGCTCCTCATGACTGGGACAAAAGCAGAATCCTTCCCCCGACTCCTACCCCCGCCCCCCACCCTCCAGGCTGTACATTTCCGTTTTCCCTGTGTCTTCGAAGTTGATCCATGACCCCAGAGAAGACCACAGGCTCCCAGTGTGACTTAGTGACCAGCTGTCTCCAGGACTCTGGGCAAGTCACTTCTGCTCATTGGGACTCAGTTTCTCCATCCGTCCAATGGGAGAGAGTCTCTGCTCAGCCCACCTGACGGCCATTGTGGGGAGCAACTATAAGAAGAGTCATCAGAGCCCTTGGCCAAGGTGAGAGGCCAGTGTGCCATCTGAATTCTCATGGTGCCTCCCCCCAGAGCCTGCAGCTTTGGAAAGGAATTTGGGCAACTCTTGGCAAAAAAACAAAAAGAAAAAAAAAAGTAATGTTTCCTGGTTGGTGGTTTTCTTTGTTTGCCCCTCTGAGCCTCTTTTGGGGGTGCCGACCTGTCTGCATCTGCTGGTGTGTGTTTCTGGGGAAGGGGCAGGCCCTTGCCCTGGGGTGCGGGCGGGGCAGGGCGAGGCCCTGGGGTGGACGGGGCCACGCAGCATGGCCAGGCCTCTTCTCGTGCTCCCGTTGTATGTTGTCCATGTCTCGCCTATTAAACACGCTTCCAGACTTGTCTTTGCCTCCCTTGTGTGGACCTGTTGCTTTGTCTGTTTCTGTTCTTTTTTTGTTTCATGTTAGGTTTCTTCTTTCTCCTGTCAGACCCTTTCTCTGGCTTGGGGTGTTGTCTGCCCAGTTTCCCCAAGAGAAAGACTGTGTGGAGTGAGAACCTTGGGCATCATGATTAAATCAGAACATTTCAAGGAGTGTTTCTGTAAAGCCAAGGATTCAGCTGAGTGAGCCCCAGACCCACCCCATGTATCACTCCCAGCATTTCCATTCCCGCCTGTGTCATCTCTTGTGGGATCTCTAAAGGGTTCCTCGAAAGGTTTAACCATGTCTCAAAACATTGACCAAGGCTAGTGGTTCCCAGAGTGGAGTGTTGGCAGAATCACCTGGAGGTTTGTTAAAATCCAGCAGGCCATCCTCACTTCCAGAGTTTCTGATTAGCTAGATTTGGGCTGGGGCCTAAGAAGGTGCATTTCTAACCAGTTCCCAGGCCATGCTGATGCTGCTGGCCTGGGACCCCACTTCTTCGGGAACACCTGGGGAGCTGTGGGCTCTGCAGGATGCCCCAGTGGGTTCTAAGGAGTCCAGCCTCCACTGCCCGGGGATTCAGGCTAATTATTCACCCGCGTGTAATTTGCACCATCAGGCACTGAGGGCCCAGAGACTCATCGCTCACTGAGTGGAGGGGTATTTCAGGAGGGGTGGTGGGCAGATGAGTAGCTTCTGTGGGGGAGGGTCTCAGAAAGGCACCTCATGTTCTGGTGGTCGGCGTGGCTG